ACACTTCCTTTCTGCTGATCACCCAAAGATAATTCCCAAGTTTTGTTCTTAACTAGTCAGCAAAGACTGTCCTTCAAATATGTATGTATGTATATATATATTATACTATTTGTAATTACTTTCTATATGTATCCGATCAAGATTTTATTTGACGTATCCCATCTATTGATGTAGCAGAAAGGATGAATAAATTCTACCTATCTATCTATTTCTTTCCAGTCATGGACGAGATTTGAACTCACGTCTGGTGAGACGTGAGTTCAAATGCGACTTGCGCATTAACCCACTCGGCCAATGGACTAATCGAAATTATTTAATCCTGGTGATCCTGATCATGATAATGAGATTAACTTATGGAATTATTGTATTGTCACCGATTCTTGATGAGTGTACAAAGTTTAAAATAAATCTATCCGTTCAAAGTTAGTCAAAATCGAGTCCAAAGGAGTCGGTTTCTAACAAATATACAAGTGGAGCTAATGAAAGCGTGTTAAAAATAGTTCAGTTTAACTAATTCGAAAAAATGGGGAATAGAAAACAAAAAAAAATTCATTTTTCATTCAGAAAAAAAAAAATGATGGTGGTAAATTAATAACTCGAGCACAAGTTATTCGGGATGAAAGAATCAGAAAATATATGAGACATTCAGAGAGTTATAACCTATGTTGAAGTAAAATTTATTTGGAAGAGCGTTTTCAAAGTGAAACAACAGCAATGTTTAAGGCTATATTTAAATGTTTCAATTGCCTTCCTTCGATGCTTTCTATTACCAAATTCAACTTCGTAAAAATAGTTCAGTTTAACTAATTCGAAGAAATTAGGAATAGAAAACAAAAAAATATTCATTTCTCATTCAGAAAAAAGAAAAATGATGGTGATAAATTAAGAACTCGAGCACAAGTTATCCGGGATGAATGAATCAGAAATATATGAGACATTCAGAGAGTTATAACCTATGTTGAAGTAAAATTTATTTGGAAGAGCGTTTTCAAAGTGAAAAAAGAGCAATGTTTAAGGCTATATTTTGATTAATGTCTTTATTTTTCTGAACTAGGTAAATCGTCTTATGAAGAAATTTTGATGGGTCTATTGAATAATACAATATGAAAAACTAAAAGTGTACCCACCTTCGTCAAAAATAATCAAGACTGGATTAGCTTCCTTTACTATATGTTCGATTCTTGGTCCGGGAAATGCTGGATCTAGAGGCATGTAAGCAGCACCAGCTTTCCAAATAGCAAGCAGCACCATCACTAGGTGATCACTGGGGTGCATATTCACAGCAACGATGTAATCTCCATCTTTATTTCTTGGAAGATTTTTGGAGCAGATGAAACTTTGGATGGTTCTCGCCAGTTTGTTGGCGAAGCTGTTCAGTTCGGCGAAAGAATGCTGTCTAATTTTTCCATCAACTGTAATGAAAAAGTTCATAACATAACTATGCAGAATATTACTGGAGTTTTTTTCCAACATAAAACCGTTATTTCAAGATCTCCAAACGTGTTTCGATCACCATGTTCAAGAGGAAAATCAAGAGTTTGATCTTCCTTTTGCAGATGATCACTTGGTAATCGAAACACGTATCGAGGTGGAAAAATAACGGGTTGGTGTTGAGAAAAAACTACAGTTATATTCATTACTACACAAAAGGTTCCAAACAGTGCATCACAAATAACTGTTTAGAGTCTGGGTTGATCTTAGGATGTAGGTCGCCTGCTGATAAAGATTTGTGTCGGTCAATCGCGTGCAAAAATCTGTGCCGCCCCTGGTAATACTCATTGTTGATGTTATCAACCTGTCTGAGTAGGAAGTAAAACATCAAAAGTCCATGATAATGAATATACAGGGGGTCAATTTGAAAAACTTCTCACCCTTAATATCTTTCTTTCAGTAATCAATATGAGGAATCGAAAAAAACAGGTCAATTTTATTGTCATAGAAGACACTTCAAAGATTATTTGCAGCCCTCGTGGTTCAACCACGAGGGCTACGAGGGGTAAATAAAAGGGAGGTCAAATGGTACATCATTTTGATTGGCGTTCGATTCTGCTTCCAATAGTACACTGACTGAATTTATTTTGATGAGCATTTTCCGAAAAATAGCGATCAAAACTAACAGAAGTAATTATCGTTACGCCTATACTGAGATGCATTGTTTGACCAAAACTGGTAATAATATTAGGTGGTACCGTTCCAACCCTCTATTAGGGGTCACATCAGTCATTAGCTCCAATTAATTTACATCAAAACGTAGTTTAATAGTAAAACGTAGATAGTAGTAAAGTTGTGTTTAGTCAATGCTGAATTTTTAATTCTCATCGCAGAAAGTGTACAGACAGCCGTCCTTTTTAGTACTTCTGCTACAAAAAGTTTCTGTTTTCAGGTAAAAAATTGGTTCGCAATACTGTACACACCTCGGCAACTTTTGATGCTTTATGAAGTTCTAGTCTAGAACATTGAAGAAAGGTTGGATATTTGTCCCTTTTTTATAGATACTTCCACTGGAGGTGTTCAAGTGACTTGGCACATTTGATTCCACCAAGAGCGGTACATATCAGAAATACGAGACGGATTGTGGCTGCTCATCGTTTTGAGGTTCAATTCAGTACACCTAGAACTTCACTGCTCGAGAACTCTTTTATTTGGAGAAGTGGAGAACATTTATCCAAATGAATTGAATCTCCAGCGAATAGGTACCGCTCTTAGAGCGCCAGAAGTGATTGTGTTCTGTCCTGTGTGTATTATGTATCTTCTTCTTCACATCTTCGTTTACATATAAACTGATATCCTTTCAATGAAGCAATATCATATCTCAGGTATATTTGTGATATTTTTAACTCACAAGAGCAGGCAAGTATTTTGTTCAGTCGAAGAGAAATTTTGTTCCTCTCCCATTCCAACACTTGCGGTGCGACCTCTCAAGGAAATCAGTTATCAAAATGAAACTCTCAAAAAATATAAAAAATATTCATCATGTTAATAGTTGTGTCTTCCCAAATTTGAAGTTTGAATGAAGGTAATCCGAAAATTTGCCAAAGTAAAAGATACCAGCAAAAGTGATCATTGTGAAATACAGGTCGATATTTGGTATTTCACAGTTGAGATTGGTCCAAGTTGGACAATAACTTCTATAAGAACAAAAAAAATTAATGGCCTGTTGAAGGCCTAACGTGAGTTATTGACTCAAAGTAGGGGCAGATTTTCAATATCGTTGCGAATACAAAATACAAAAATTTCAGAATACAAATTCTGAAATTCAAGGTATCCTAAACGAGTCAATTTTCTGTTCTTATTAACAATACTCAGCGTTCGTATAATTCCCTCGCAGAAAGTCGAATTTGAATAACCCTGTGTATCAGTGCTTCTTCAACTTACCTTCGAATATAAGCGCAGTATTATTTTCGTATTGCCCTGTTGCGATGTTCTCGAAAATATCGTGAAGTGTATTTATTTGAAGACGTCGAGTAGGCCCTTTAACAATTGAGAGTTGAGGTATTGATCCCATTTTCTGAAAAAATATAATAAATTCAGTACTGTTGTTATGGGTAGCAAACGAAGATATATTTTTGGGAAAGAAAGTTTTTGGACTTCTACTTTCTCATCTTGATACAAAAAATGCGGGAATCTTCCAAAGAGAGGAAGAAAGCAATCAATTTCAAAAATAAAATCTATACAAAGATGTGAAGATCATGCAAAAAAGTAACTTTCAGACAGAAACTGGAAGAAACATCACTTTCGAAACAGCTATTTTCAAATAAACATTGAATTACGTGAAAGAAAAATACTTTTATATGAACCCTGAATTATACGAAAAACACTCTTTTCTATTCCGTTTGCATTCCAAACATTCGTAATGGAATCGAATCAGATATCATTCGCAGGATTCCTACACAATATAATTAACGAAAGAAGTAAAATTTCACTTACACGAAACACTGCCGATGTTTCGCCGTAAGACACTTGCCTTATCGGCTCTTCAGTAGCAAATATGGATAACATTATGAGAAAAAATACTATATTCATTCATGATTATGAGTTTTTGTCACGGACTTATGAAAGAAATGTGGTGGAAATCATGAACTCAAATGACTTCCTTTAGTTATCACGGACTTCCCTACATCCAAGAAATGATAAAAAAGTCAGTACACTACCATTAGAAACTTTTCAGAAATATTTTTCTGAACTACTAATTGAATTAGATATGAGATCAAGCCCCCAAAATTTGAAACTAGGATTACGTATTTTACTATGAAGTATGAAAAAGTCAATCAAATGAAACTGAATAATCATTTGTATTGACAACATTGCTGCTAAATCAAATATAAAAAAGGGAATGCAATTTTGTGAGTAATTAATTCTGTTTGAGAATAATTTTATTTCATATATTTTTGCGAACTCACTATAAGGAACATAGAACGGATCTGGAGAACGCCACACACCAGCTGCAGCACACGATCATCCAAACGATGGAAAGAAGCGCACGGGAATTCCCATCCCCACGCTTCTACTACCAAGAACAGCTCCCATCAGAAACGATGGAACTGATCGGAATAAGAAGACCCCTAAAAAGACGATACTAAAGGACTCGCGCGCCTATAGACAAAAGGTGCATGCAAAGAGCCAACAGAATACTGAAAGAAGAACTGAAAGCTATCCGAGAGAGACAATGGACTACCCGTCTAGAAGAACTGAACACTGAAGACCAGTCTGCATGGAGAATGCAGAAAATACTCACGAACGGACCTTGACAGCCATGCCCGCTAATATTTGGCGAGCAAGGAATCATCTACACTGACCAGGAGATGACGGACGTATTCGCGGACAATTTTGAAAGGCAGTGGAGAGAGAACGACGTCCCGTTCACGGACGAGGTAGACGAAATAGAGAGACACGTGGAAAGAACGGTACGGAGGCTAAGACAACGAACGGACAACACGCAACCCCTGGCCCCGACATCTCTCAAGGAAGTGAAAGACATCCTAAGACGTTTATCCACTCGGAAAGCACCAGGCACCGTACCCGTTTAAAGAGACAACGGTTATCCACATCCCGAAGCCCAAGAAGAAACACCTGTTCCCAGATAATCATAGGCCAATAAGCTTACTGCCTTCCATAAGCAAAGTGGCAGAGCGTGTCATCTTGAAGAGACTCGAAGATCAAACCAGAGAGCTAGGAATCCTCCTGGACGAACAATTCGATTTTAGATCAGAACACTCAACAGAGCTACAAGTCCTGAGGGTAGTAGACTTCGCGACCGAAGGCTTCAACCTTAGCAAAGGATACAACACCGGAGCTATCTTCTTAGACGTCTCCAAGGCGTTCGACAGAGTTTGCCATGACGGATTACTGGCCAAGATGAGCGATTTTGGATATTCAAAAGCAATGGTAAGATCTATTCAGTCTTTTCTAGCTGACAGGCGATGCCGTTGCAGAGTAGGAGACGAACTATCAACAATTCGACTACTGGAAGCAGAGGTCCCGCAAGGAGCAATCCTTTCGCCACACCTCTTCTCCGTATACACAGCGGACGGGCCCAAGTCAGAGAACAACTTCAACAAGTTAGCGCTCTACGCGGACGACACGTCCCTGCTGGCGAGATTCACGAGCCAAGCGCATGTCACGAGGTACTTGCAGCAACGGGCAGACTTATTAGAGTAATGGGCCAACCTGTGGAAGATCAGTATAAACCCTGACAAGAGTCAGGCGATACTATTCACTAGCAGGCGTGTATAACCGGAAGGCAACGTCATCTTCAACGGACAAGAGATTCCGTGGACCAACAAAGCGACATACCTGGGGGTCATCCTAGACAGGAAAGTAACATTTCAGTCTCACGTACGGCAGAGAATCGGAATGGCTAGATACGCCAGACAACGCCTGGCACCAATTATAGGACGCAGAAGCAACATGGGATTGAAAGTGAAGTTGCTGTTGATTAAAACCATTCTCATGCCCATAATACTGTATGCATGCACTGCCTGGGGCCACAAACATACAGAAAGAAGATACAGTCGTTAATGAACGCGAGCGTAAGGGCCGCCGTAAACGCACCTTACTATATCCCATATATATATATATATATATACAGACCTAGACCTGGACCTGGACACGCAATATGTAGACAATATGAGAGAACACGCAGAAAGCGTGTTCGATAGAATCACATCGCACAACAACCCAGCGCTACGCGATCTACACGATGCGTTGAATATGAATGATCCCAGATTCTGAGAAAGGGATAAATATCCAAGGCCGACAAAGCAAAATCAAAGACCACCTCCGCGAGTCGCCGTCAGGCGACAAAGGTAAGCATAAAATAATCAGACAAACTCTCTTTCAGGTAGGTTCAACGTAGAACAATTCGACCGCGATTCACTTATCCTCAGATTCACTGAGGAATGCTCGATGCGAAACACAATAGCCGCCAGTAAGTTTTTGGGGGCGCCCATGCAAAAATTCAATTAGGAATAGTTATGACAAAACATAAAACCGATCGCGAAAGAACAGCACCCAAAGGCTGACTTTCCACCAAAAGAGGTCAGATGTCAGTCAATCTTGCTGAAGTGCCCATCAGTAAGTTGAGGACAGCTCGGAGAGCGGGGGTGCATGGATTGGGGTATTAGGTTCTCCTCGCTAACTAGCTGTGGGGGGAAGCTTCTACTTCAGGACCCTCAACCCGGGAGGGGGCATGGGGGTATAACGAAGATGTTCAGATCACCTTTTATATTGCCTCTAACAGTTCGTAGGCAAACAAGAATTGTTTTCATAAAATTTGGTTTTATTATTCAATATAGTTACCTTTGAGGGTGTTACAACGATTATATCGGTCATATAGTTTTTCTATAGTACGATTTGTCTTTGGCTGAAAATAGGCCTCAGTTTCGACGATTACCTCTTTATTAGAGCTAAATTTTTTCCAACGAGAATTCTCTTGAGGTCTGAGACCAGGATAGAGTCGCTGGGGGGCAGATCTGGAGAATACGGTGGACACGAAAGCAATTTGAAGCCATTTCGCCATTGATATGTGACACGGTGCATTTCCTTGCTGAAACAACATTTTCTTTTCAAATGCGGTCTCCACGATTTCGTCCCTCAAACGCACCAATGACGCTATGTAATAGTCGCTGTTGATGGTTTTTCCCTTTTCAAGACAGTCGATGCCCATTCCAAAATACTGATACCATAACCTTGCCAGATGACTGTTGCGTCTTTGTAAGCTTTGGAGTCGTTTCACCACATGAAGTCCAGTAAAATGACCATCGTTTTGATTCTGGTGTGAAATGATGGAGCCATGTTCCATCCATTGTCACATATCGACGCATAAATCCGATTTTTTTTATGGTGGAACAGCTTCCAACATTGCTCGTTGTTGTTTTTGATCGATTGTGAGATTGTGCGGCAGCTACTTTGAACAGATATTTCACATACCCAAATATTCATTCACGATAAATATGACCAACACGTAGTATTTCCATTATTTATTTATTTAGTCAACCGTAAACAGTTTGTTCAATACAATGGTTACAAATCGGAAGTGTATACGGCAACCAGCGGTGTGCCACAGGGATCTAATTTAGGCCCACTGTTGTTCTTGCTGTACATAAATGACCTGTGTACATCTCTCGAATGCAAGAGGCTTATGTTCGCCGATGATTTAAAATTATATACGTCCGTCACTTCTTTAAATGATTGCAGTTATTTGCAGATTCAGTTGAATATTTTTCATAGGTGGTGTATCAAAAATAAACTCCCAGTGAATATATTCAAATGTAAAGCAATGACATTTACTAGGAAAAGTATTAGTCTTCACTGTGCATACTCAATAGATAATGTAGAACTGCAGCGTACTGGCGAGATAAAAGATCTGGGAATTTATTTTAATGCGCAGCTCACCTTTAACATATACGTTAGTCGTACAGTAAATGCAGCATATAGTGCATACGGCTTTATTGTAAGAAATTGTAGAAATTTCACAAATTTGTCTGCTCTAACAAAAATGTATTTCTGTTTTGTCCGATCAAAACTAGAATATGGATCTCTAATATGGAACCCCATATATGGACAATATATTTCTATCGTGGGGAAATTGATGGAGTATACCCACCTAGAGGCCAAAACTATGTTTCTTTATTACAAAGATTTGACTTTATATCCTTAGAAAAACGCAGGGCGCAGATTTACTTAATATTTCTGTACAATCTTTTGAACAATAAAATTGATTCCTGTGAATTATTATCTTACATCAACATATTTGTACCTCGGCAAACATCTCGAAAAAGCTGCACTTTTATGTGTAAACGGGCGCAAACTAACCTTATGCTTAAGGCACCAATCTATGTAATGTGCACGAACTATAACAAAATTTGTGAATATTGTGAATTTTTTTCCTATTCTTCAATCGAATTAAAAAATAAGTCTAGAGCGTATATCGTATGATAACGCTGAGATCTCTATGTATTACTGCTAGGAGTATACTTAATATATATTGTCATCTTAAATTGTTTTCTA